ACTAAACAATGAAGACTGTAGTGAAATATCTGATTTCACCAATGAACTTTAAGTCAAGTATACAGATAAATGCAATGTTCTGAAAGCTGAATGCAATCTTGACACATTTTGAACATGAATCAACTAATATAAGGATTCAAGCAAAGACTAAACAATTGGATTGAGATAAGTACACATGAACCATATTATTCTTGAACTCAAACTGTAAGACATACAATAATAGGTCAAATGTGACATACCAAATCCTCAGTAAAATAGGTCACTAACTTGAGGTTACATGTACTGGAGTTACTTTTTTGTGACCAAGAGGTTCTGAACTTGTAAGTGCTGGTCTTGACACTCTGAACTACTAAGTTAAACTAACTAACTGTACTTCTTTTATAAGGAATCGAACAATAGCAGGAAATTCTCTAAAATTTTGGAAGTTAGGTGTGATCATTCTAAAGGAAATTTAGCTGCAAATCCTGTGTTTAGGATGATTTGGTTATCATAGGAAATAGTTAGGTGTGATGGTGCAACTTAAAGGAAATTTATGATGCAAATCCTGTGTGTATGATAATTTGATTATCATAGGAAATAGTTTCTTAAGATGTAATTTTAAAATTATAACAAAAATTATTAAAAACTAGATCATTGGATAATGCAATTCAAGACTTTTTATTGGCTTAGCCAGTATGGTATATCAGCCAATATACCATAATCTACAAATATGGTAAGCGTACGTGTCAGCTTAAAATTAAAAGAAAGCTAAAAATTTAATAAAATTTAATAATTTAATTTAACGTTTTTAATGAAACAATTATTCCACTCGCACTTGTTGGATATGAGATCATCTCATATCCAACGCGCGCTCGTGGAATAATTGTTAAATATTGCGATGTCATGCACAATTGTGAGCCTGGTCACAAGTGGAATCTATAGTAGGCAATCACGGATGAGTATTTTTCCTCTAAAGCGTGGAGCAGTAAAAGTAACGTGCAAGACCTTTTCACAGTCTTCGAATGTCCTATATTGCTATTTTGCATCGACGAAAACATACTTTCCACAATAAAAAGATTTTGAAAAGCAATTTTTGTTACGATTAATTTATGGTAGTTTGGAAAATATAGGATGCCGGAATTCGGAACCGGAACCGAAGTACTTAGATTATTTGGAATGCTCGGAATACCCGGAATTCCCGGAATGACCGAAAAATAACAAATTAAAAAATAAATAATTAAAAGTAAATAAATAAATAAGAACATTGATGATTAAAAATTAATGGTAAATTCAGAACTTAATTAAATAATTTAATACGAAAATTGTCTCTGAGGGTCCCGAAAAAAAAATACTTACCGGCACTGTTCATGGAGATACACGTATTAGAATTTTAAAAAGTCTGCGTCAGGCCAGTAGCCCATACAGCCTAGGCGACGAAATATTTCTGCTTTCCCTTACCCCTGGATGGGATGCTAGTCCATCACATGGTTACTCCCCGTTTTAAATTCGCCTCCCCCCATTTACACGCCTATAGGATGTCTAGCCAGGGCGCCATGACCATTAGGCTTTCACGCTTTTCCAGCCGGAACCATTGCAGAAGATTACACAAATGAAATATTTCCAATTAGTTTAAAAATCTCCGAACTATAACAAATTAATACTCTACCTTAAATAATTATTAACCACAGACTGGGAGCTATCAAAGCAGCTACCATTACGACCAGCCATCTACAGTTAAAATTGAGAGATCGTCAGTTACTCGACACCTTTTCGCGTCTTTCCACAATATTTACCTTTAAATATATATCTTGTACTGATGGATTCTTCTAAACAAGGTTTATATTCAAAGGTATATATTCAAGATATTTATAATAGACACGAAAAGGTGTCGAGTAACTGACGATCTCTCGATTTTAACTGTAGACGGCTGGTCTTAACGGTAGCTGCTTTGAAAGCTCCCAATGTGTGGTTAATAATTATTTAAGGTAGAGTATTAATTTGTAATAGTTCGGAGCTTTTTACAATTGAACTATTAAACTAATTGGAAATATTGCATTTGTTTAATCTTCTGCGATGATTCCGGCTGAAAAAGCGTGGCGGCCTAATGATCATGGCGAGAAATCGGACACGAACGGGGAGAAACCATGTGATGGATTAGCATCCCATCCAGAGGGGAGGGAGAGTAGAAATATTTCGTCGCTTAGGCTTTATGGGCTACTGGCCTGACGCAGACTGTTTTTTTCTACTTGTAATACGTGCATCTCCATGAACAGCACCGGTGTTTTTTGTTTTTTTGTTTTTTTTGTTTTGGGACCCTCAGAGAAAAATTTCGTATTAAATTATTTAATTAAGTTGTGAATTTATCATCAATTTTTAATCATCAATATTCTTATTTATTTATTAATTTACTTTTATTTTTTTAAAACTTTATTATTTTTTGGTCATTCCGGGTACTCCGAGTATTCCGTTCCGGTTCCAAATTCCAGCATTCTATTTTCCAAACTACCATTCATTTACCGGTATTTCTTCATTATTTTCTGCTGATGTTGACTGAACCACAGCAGAGCAAGAGCTTGAAAGCCCACAATGCAGAACCAAATTAAAAAATATTTTGCGTGGAACTGCGAGCTGAAAACTCTTTCTCATCTACGTATACATAACTATAAGTGATGCTGTTTTCTTTCTTTTTTTTTTTCTTATCTTTATTCAATTATGAGAATCACGGAAAATCCATTACTTGACTTGTGAATTCCGCGTTAAATTGCACTTGAAAACCGATTTGACACTCATCGCTTCGCGATCCGTGTGATATCGGTTTTCGCGTGGAATTTAATGCGGAATTCCCTCGTCAAGTAGTGAATTTTCCCATAGAATTCTTCATAATAAAAATCATGGGACAATTCTCATGTTAGATAACTCCTTGGGTTAATGAGCATCCCTCCTTAAATAAAGTTTATTGATTGATTGAGTGATTGATTGATCGATCGAGAAGTCGCGACAACAAATCAATTTCTACTAGTCCGTTAGTGTCGAGCCCTCAATGACAATTTCTGAAAAAAGAAAAAGAAAAAGAAAAACATTTAGGGAAAATATCTCCAGTTGAAACATCCTATATTTTGGAAGTTTCCAGTTTTTTTAGGATAAGTGGTTGTTGCTATAGTTATTGTGATAAATTTTGTGATTGGTGGATTTGGCTGACTGGACTTAGTGGAACAAGATGCACTGAAATGGTTTAAGTCTTACCTAACAAATCGTCTACAACGATGCAATGTAAACAATCACCTCTCCAGTGCAAGCCCTCTAAACTATGGAGTTCCCCAAGGATCAATAATTGGTCCTCTACTTTTCTTGATCTATATAAATGACTTACCAAATTGCTTGTGCCTAGGCTCTCCTAGAATGTACGCTGATGACACGAATGTCACCTTTGCTGCATCTGACATGCATGGTATCGAGACCCAAATCAACACTGAACTGAAAAGCATTAATCTCTGGCTCAGAGCAAACAAGTTAAGCATCAATGTGGCAAAAACTGAGTTCATGGTCATTAGCTCGCGTCAAAAATTGCAGTCTTTAAATGACGACAATAAATGTTAATGAAGAGGGCGTGAAAATAAACCAAGCAGCTCATAGCAAAGCTCTCGGATTGAACATAGATGAAAACCTATCCTGGAAGGAGCACATAGACGCAATCTCAAAAAAAGTCTCTTCCAGTATCGGTGCACTGAAGCGAATTAGATTTTTTGTTTCAATGCACACCGCTATTAAAATATACAAAGGTCTTATCGAAGCACATTTTGATCACTGCAACTGGTGTTATTTGGGATGGCTTGTCCCAACAGCTGAGTGAGAAACTAGAAAATCGCGCTGCCAGAGTAATTACTAAATCACGTTATAATACGAACTCTAGCTATCTCCTCAACTCTCTCGGCTGGGATAACTTATCAGTAAGAAGGACAAAGCAAACGGCAAATTTAATATATAAATGCGTTAATAAGCTCGCCCCAAATTATCTTTGTAACATGTTCACTCCGAGAACCTTGTCCTTTGATCTTCGTGGCGCAAGCCAAAAACTGTACTTGCCGAAACCAAGAACTGACTTCCTGAAGCGTAGCTTCAGTTATAGCGGAGCTTCTCTTTGGATATTCTCTTTGGATCTTCCTGAGGATATTCGCACTAGAAAATCTCTACGCATCTTCAAGAGAATAATTGATAACTGGCTCTCTGTGTTGGGCTCCCACACGGCAAATATGTAAACCAGTTCACAGAAAATTTTAATTAAGATGAATTTCTTCTTTGTTTTCTATTGCCATACTGATATTTTTACAGTGTTTTAAATAAAGATTTCATTCATTCATTCAATGACCGACTGCCTTAATTGTCTGATTGCAGGTGTCCGATTACAACTCTACAGAATAATAAATAAAAAATATAGTAGCCAATACACCTATCACATTTGATCGAGGAAATAGTAATGTTTATTATTACTGTAATGATCAACTGACATGCATAAGATAGTTTAATAACGTTCAGCCAACATTCCTTAAAAGCGATTTGAATCAATTCTAACACTTTCCAGAAAAATTTGTTGGTGGCCGGTGCGTGAACACGGCAATTTCAATTTTTTAGCGAATTTTTAAAGAATAGAAATTCACTGGAAGGTTATATTACAATTAAAAAAAAAACAGTTTGCTTAAGTGTTTCTCCTTGCTACGTATATTTCATTTTTTAGTCTTGGTGACGGATTCTTGATATCTGCAATCACCCCTTCTTAAGAACTTATATTGTAACTCTACGCCAAACTGAACCACTACTTCCATCTACTTCACAGATTCAAGGCTATAAGTCTCCAACGAGACAGCAGGTATCAAATGCTTGTGGCTGTGCACTTCATCGCCATTGAAAGCGACTCGAAAGACACCAAATGTTGAAGAATTATTCCTCACCATAGTTTTTCACAATTCTCTGAGCTTGCCTCACATACTGCTGTTGTCTGTAGTAGATCCTGACAACTCCTTTCACTGCTACGAAGCTTATGCCTCCCTGAAATAACACCATAACCATTACCTAAGTTGTATATGCATAAAATAAGAAAACCACTTTTCCCACTTTTTCTTGTGCAGCTGACATCTACCCACTTTTTTTTATCCTACATAAATGTACTTTTTCGTCAAGCTTTACAGAAAATCATTTTGGATTCCCTGAGTCGTATTTTCAGCCATCAAAAGGATGCAAAGAATTCTTACCCAAAATACCCCCTTCCCCTCCGCCCCTTCACTTATAATGGCCCTAACTCTATGAGCTTTCGCAAGAAATTCCCTGAATTCAGCAAACCGAGAAATTTGGCTCACCATGCGATCGACAACTGATCAAATGAAAGTTCCATCCTATTTCACACAATGAGGAATTAAAACCAATTTTGGAGTGAAGCTATAAATTGCAGAACGAGACGTGTTTCCACTGCGTCGTCCTCGCCAGGTGATGAGACTGAATGATTGGGTGTTGCTGTCTCAGATAACATGATGGTTTGCGTTCTGCAAAATCTTGGGAATGCCCACTTTGATCCCCCACAAAAAAATGTCAGTGGAGTCGCAAAAAGCAGCAGGAGACAGTCAAAACAACTTGTAGTACAGCTGTAGATTGTTTTAAACTACAAACCTAAGAAAAGAGAAACATAACTAAAGAAGAGAGCACAAGAAAAAAAAGAGGTAAACAGAGAAGTGCATGTTCGACAGTGTTCTGCTTTCTAATCCTTTGACTTGCTCTCCATTGAAAAAAAAAAGTATATTCCGAATGAGGAGCTTTTAGGTTTTAGAAATAAATCTGTAATCTGAAGCGACTCTTCAAGGAAATGCTAGTATTTTGGCTGCATAAAAATATTGTTGCCCAGGAGGTAGTGTAGGAGCCACCTGACCTCTGTGCAACCTACCTGTGAGCTATGAAAAATTTTATTTGGTAATCAGTGTTAATTCCTGGACTAAACAACTGGAGACTTAATCAGGCCTGACAGTATGTAATCAAGTGGGCAAGTGGAAACCCTGTCACCAAGACAAACATTTTTTTTCTTTAGAAAGAATACACCCAGTAAAAGAAAAAAATTTCAAAAACTACATTTTGCAACACTTCAGCATGTTTCACTATGTAAAAAAAGCCCTGAGGCTAGTTACAACTAGTGTTGGTGAGTGCCCCCTTGAAAGATGCAAAATAGAATTGCTGGGTGGTGCAAGATAAACACTCCAACAAACTGAGGACTTTAGCAGAGATATGAACACATTTGGTGTAACACTTTTCTAAAAACCTTTCCACACACAAATTAAAATTGTGCCCACAAAGCCTTAAGCACAAGACCAGCTAAAATGCAAGGTGAACTATGTTTCAGATGCAGGAGACTAATTGCTGGGAACATATCCAGCCTTTTCCTCCAAATCCAAATAGAGAGTGCGTTCAATAAAGTATGAAGTCAAAAACCTCAAAGGCACAAACTAACATTCATTCTGGATCTCTCTAGCAGGCAGATAAGCCTTTCTATCTTGGCTTAGAATCAGGTTCTGCACTTTGTGATCAGCCATTTACTTTGCTAATAGCCTAAAGCCTAGGCACTGGAATCATGAGGTGTACAATCATGTAATTGTATCAGTCATATACATGTATGAGTGAGAATATGAAAGGTTATTTGATGACATAGTCTAATAAAGGAAAATATGGTAGGTGGCAAAACCAAGAGAGACATACAAGCAGTTGCTTGACCACAAAACCATGATCAAATCCCTTACACAGGACCATACAAAACAAAGAGCAAAACTTATTCTTGCATCCACAGCTAATAAGAAGCGGAAGTTAAGTATCACATTCCAAAAGCTCAGTGGATTAATAGTGTATGGTAGGAATAAAAGACATACATGTAAAAACAGAAAGTTTGAGTCTAAAGAACAAAAAGTCACCTCAACAAGAATTTGGTTCAATAAAAAAATGTTATGAAGGTTTCATGTTCATTAAACAAAATTACATCCCAATGTTGAACTAAACATGCAGCTGTAGTTTCTTAAGGAAAAATATTTCTAGGCCTAAAAATTGAAGACAAAATACATAAAAAAAATGATGTAGTAAAGAAAATTCTTCACTTAAAACAAATTCAGAATCCCATGGTAGAGGGTACAAAAGTCGATTTGGAGATTCATTATATCCAGTTATATCCAAACTCTGAATCAATATTCCTTTCTCCTTCTAACTAACACAAATAAAGATGCACCAGATATGTGCCTACATGTAATTGGTGCCAGTGATTGTTTACGCATTATATACACAGGTAAAGCCACCATAAATTAAACCTCTAAAACACCATCACTGCTAACATACAATTAGTCTAATAAAAATGCTTGTGCTGTATAACAACAGCTCTAGAGGTCAATCAATGTTCAAATGTGTGAAAATATTTTCAACTGTTCCATGAAATAAAATGAGTTGTACAGAGAATCTTACTTTCCTGCACTTAACTATAACTAAAAAAAAATGATGTGCTAAAAACAAGGCCTGTGAACAGACTTTTGTAAAAACCTGTTTCTATTTACAGTATATTTCATTATGCTGTTCATTAACCCAAAAAAAATTAACTACATTGATTTGTTTTTGTAAGTACCGGTAGTTATACCATTGGTGTGAAATTATTTTCATTTACAAGTTCAAATGTCATTGACTTACACAAAAAAAGAATTCTCTGAAAATATTGGTGAGTGCAATAAAAGTCAACTATGTTTGTAGCACAATAAACCAACAAGAATTGTTTAAATTTTTAACTCGTTTTGACAGTCTTCTGCTGCTTTTTGCAACTCTATACGATATCTTGTGACACTTTGTGGGTCTGCTTCATGCAGTGTTCTTTTTTATGCTGGGTCAAAGCAGGCATGATGGGCCCATCTTGCCCACTTGGGGAGAGAGGAGGATTCACTTCATATTGCCCACGGTGTTGACAGCAATATAGCAAGTGATCTTCACAAACCAGTTTTTCATACACAATAACATTCCATTGCATCATGTATTTCTCTGCCAAGCACCTAAATCTTGATGCATTCATTCGATTAAATACAGGAGTCAGAATAAGAGCCACAGCTTTTAAGTGGTGAAGTGGCCATGATGACTGTTATTTTTGCCCTTGTTTCCTCAGGCCTGCTTGTATCTTCATTCTCTCCTTTTCTGGTCTGCCATGACTTTCTTAAATCAATGATGCACCTGTTTTTGCTTAAATTTATATGATTTGATGGAAATAAAATGATTCGTGTTATTAGTCTACCTGAGTGTTTACTCAACTAAAAGTGTCGTTTATGAGAATGAACAGCAAAGATGTGCCGGTTATAAATAACCATTTCATTAAAAGTTTTGCATCTTACAGTGTACATGTATATGCAATGTTAAAGGAAAGAAAAGTTCAAAATAATTTAAATTTCACACACAGTAATTTAACCCTTACCAGTAGGGCTCGATGCAAACTTGAAGGGACATATCCATAACACACTTTGCCAATAAGTGTGGAGATTGTTGGCAGAATCAAAGCACCACAAAGGAGCCTGGTGAGAGACACTGGGTCAGATAATGGAGTGGGCTCTGCTGGCGTGCGTGATGCATAATCACAGGCAGTTAAACCAGGCAGAATGTGGCCAAGAAAGGACATCTTACTGAAATGGCGTCTCCACAACCTTAACACATGATCCTCCCAGCGAACCATTTTTCCAAGGATAAGTGCCAAAGGGATAGTAGGAAGTCCAACAAATAAGAACAAAGGATCAGCTTTTTCCATAACTTCAAGTCCTTCTTTATGACCTAAGACCTGCATAACTGTAACTGCTCCATAAGTGACAGCAGACCAATATAATGACCCTACAACGACTCCTGCTGCAGCTATAGGGCAGAACTTATGGATAAGTTTATCTAAGAACTCTACAGATTGAAGCAGAGGTCCTAATGGAGGAAACACAATGACATACTCAGCACTGCATTGTGGGCAAGACACTTTAGCTGTTGAACTGCCTGCTTGCTTTTCATCAATCCAGCGCTGAAGGCAAATCTGGTGGACCCATTTTGTTGTCCCACGGCAACGGCAAGGCCGAACCCACTGTGAAAAAGGTTCATCTTCTTCTGTTGCAAAACACACCCAGCAACGTCTAAGAGATAGAAATAGTAAAACAGGAAAGCTTACTAAATTATAAATTTTATTCTCTCAAATTTCAACATTCACACAAAGAGCTCTCAATGTACACCTCCAAATGAAAAGGCTTGGAGTTCCTGAATTTTTGTATGTGACTTCTGTTTCAGTAGACAATTAAGTTTCTGAAATTTTGTTTCAGCTGTTGGTAATGGACTGTAAACATAATCGAGGAGGCTGGTTAAGTGCAAGGCACAACAACAAATTGTTTTTTTTATTCATGGTAAAAAGCATTCTTCAAGCAGGAATAAATTACTAACTGACTACTGCATGGCAATTGAAGACTAAAGAAACTGTAGGGGGTATAACAAGATATGGTTTTATTCAATGAGGTGAAAATGCCCCCATTTAGAATTGAGAGGAAGAAAAAGGAGTTTACCCCTTTCTAGTCCTAAAAATGCTCAGAACAGTCAATCAAAATTGCAATTCTTCGTGAACTCAATTCTGCAATTCTTCGTGAACACTTTTACCACAAATTCTTAGGAATTTGCCAGTAAAATCATTATAATTATTATTACTATAATATGCATTTATAAAATAGCCAACATAAAAAACTGATCCTGATTGGTCCATGCAAGTTCATTATGTCTCCTTACAGAACACAACTTGCATCACAAGAATGCACTACAGCACAAAATATGCACACAAGGTACATCAAAACAGTTTTCTGAAGACAGAAAATGAAAATTCTGTGAAAATGAAAATTATGACTGAGGAAATTCCTCACTCCAACCCCAAATTCAACTTTTTGTTGGTGTATGGAAATGAAAAAATGACATTACTCATAAAAGTTCTCATACAGCAGAAAAGGAGAGAAAGCTTCCTGCCCTCAGTGAAAAACAAAACCAAATTTTGGCAATGTGGAAGCAAAAGCAACCAAAAGTTCAACCAAAAAACAAAAAACAGAAAAATTATATTTAGTGCTCAGGACCAGGTACTTGAAAATGGGCTAAGTTTCAGTGTCAGCATGAACATTGCACTTGTTATAATATTTGAAATGATTAAATATGAGTTTTGTAACCAACCAGTCTGCCCAAGAGTCGTCACAACATTGTCAACCTGTCTGTCAGATTCACTACTGAGAAATGTCAGCCACATTGATCAAAGTGAACAACCATCTGGCAGCCCTAATAATTTTATCCACTTGCAGTTGGTACAAATAAACATGAATATGCCCTCAAGCACAAAGGAGTGAGGCAACTCAAGTTTATCAAACTTTTTCTGACATTCTACCCAAGAATCTTTTTTTAACATTAACAGTCAAAGGTCATTCTGGCACATTGTTTATTTCTTTAGTACTGTATACTGTACAAAGTTAACAATATACATTCACTTTGCACATTATGTTTGAAAATTACTATGAGTTATATTTCATTAAATGTAGACCTGAAAGTCAACATTGATAAAAAAAAGAAATGAACTGATATTCTGCCAGAGTCATACTGGAAAAATTCTGCATTACATTAATGTTGATAGGATCCCACTTAATGCACCAAAATACTAAACTACACATAGGTCTGCATATGGGCCAGCAGTTACATGATATCTATGCTCTTGTAGCTGGGTTTACTCAGGTCTAAACAAGGGTGATCATCTAAAGGGCTCTCCTGACTGTCCTCTGTTTTCTGAAAAATATTCCACTACGAAAGGACTGCCCAATTCAAACCAGGTTAGCCAGAAGCCATAGATCAAGTAAAGACCCCATATGAAGCATGAACATCTGAGCGGATTATTCACTGCTCTAGTTTAACTCTGATCTCTAATGAAGATGACTTGAATTCTGACAAAAAAAAAAACAGTACTGGGCCCAGTTGTTCAAAGGCCGATTAGCAGTAACCCAGGGTTAAATTCTAACCCAGCTTTCTATAATTCTCTGTTCAAAAGCCGCTTTGGGATAATTTTCCCTATTGTTTTTGGAGCATCCAATCATCAAATTGTATGCAACAAGAAAGAAGTTGAATTTACTCCTCAAGCTTTCAGATCTGAAACCAAATCTCACACTAGCCCTGGGTTACCTTAACCCAGCTTGAACAACCTGGCCTGGACAATTATTCCACAAGAATGTGTCCGACATGAGATGCTGAATAGCCAGCGAAGTGAGTGGCATTGGATTGGCTAGACCCAATCTCAAATCCAATAAGCCTGAACAGAATGACTGTCTGATGCATTTTACAAGCCTTGATATTGCTGTAGAGCCTTACAAATTAATTTTTCAGACTAAAACAATAAACTGCTTAAACCTTTGAGAGGTCAACCAATTTTGACTCCCAAAATGGAAAAATGATCACAAGACTTGCAATGATCTCAAGACTTTGTTTAAAAGCTAGCTTAGAGTTCTTTAGGAGTTGTACCATGTGGCATTTCTTCAGTGATTTCATTTGCAGCCTCACATAATTGTTTTCATGGGTTGTGGGCTGTATGCAAACCTGTATTTACATCCTCAACAAGCCCTTTTTGTACTTATAGGTTTGGATTGTAGTTTAAATATTTACACATCCTTTTTTCATTTTTTTTCTCATTTATCAAAAACTATGAGTGCTGAAGGCTGCAAACAGATGTGATTTAAGATAGTTCAAGCAGCTTGGTATTCTTTTTAAATAAAGTCAGAAGGCATTTTGTATCTAATATTTTCTTTATGGTGTCAAAGAGAATATTAGACACAATATTTCTATTTCCTATAGAATACTTAAATCTCAGAGAGATTTAAGTATTATATAAGAAAATTCATTAGTTGACAAGGGAATTCTGCATTAAATTGCACGTGAAAACCAATATCGCACGAATTGCGAAGCAATGAGTGCGACATCGGTTTTCAAGTGCAATTTAATGCAGAATTCATGAGTGAAGTAATGGATTTTCCTTGAATCACATACCTGAATAAAAATGAGTAAAAAAAGGAAACAGCATCACTTAAAATTGTTATGTTTACGTAGATGCAAAGCAATTAACAATTGGTTCATGCTTTAGCGTGCACTATCGAGTTATGGAGCATGTGGGAAGTTTGGAGAGCACGAAAGAAGCATAAGAGTTGCCCGAGGCGATAGCCAAGGGCAACTCCAGCTTCTTGAGTGCTCTCCAAACTTCCCACGTGCTCCATAACTCGACAGTGCATAGCTGAAAGCATGAACCAATTGTTTTAGAACATAGCCGGTGGAATTGTGCTTCAAATCCGACGCAAAAAAGGGACAACAATATCAGTTGAAGCGAATCGTGACGGCGCTGATGCCAAGTCTCCTTTTCCATTATTTATCTCTTTTTCTGCCTCATTTAAGAACTCTAGCCCAAGGGAAAAGATCGAAACATTGTCTTTGTTTTCGCACTAGTAGGCCGAGTTTCTGTTTGTATCCATTATTGTCGTGAAATATATTATTCGGCAAAAAAAAATTTCTGGCGAAGCGATTTGCTGATGCTGTCAGCATGCACTATAGGGATTTTGAGCATGCTTACGTATATTGAATTTGATTGCCCGGTTCTGCTAGCTATGTTTTAATATCACTTAGCCTTGTTTTCAACTTGCAATTCCACACTAAATACCTCGCTTTATTAACCAATCAGAATGCGAGATTTTATGCAATGATGCGATTCCTCAGCAAATTTGAGTTTCAAAATGGGTATTTGAGAAATAAATACAAGAAGAACCATTATCTGTTTTGCTTGACAAATAAATAATAAAATAAATAATAATAATAAAATAAATAAAAACCAAATTTCTGGGCTTGATGGGGTACCATAATATCTGAATTATAGGGGTAGTGGCAACCGATCAGATAATTCAGCGGTAGTCAAACGTAAATCCAAAATCCTTCAGGTTCGCCCAAAACAACACTTGCAAAATGCCTATCGTTGGCCTGACGACCACCAAAGCAACGGCAGTTCCTTATGTGCACAGCAACTTCAGCTGTAATTTCATCGTTTATAACATATAAAATACTCGGTTCTCAGATTTTAAGTTAATTACTTGACTAAACATTTAGAGACCGAGTACGATTCGATCGCTTCCGTGTTTGCATGCGTGTTGCTTGAAGTTCTCATGTGTAAGTAATTAGTACAGTAGATCAGACGACATGGAGAGGAACATTTTACCCTTGCCAGCACTGGTACGACTGGCAACATGTGGACCTTAGCAACTATGCGTTCAAGACAGTTTACGATAACCTTCCTTCGCTTTCTTACCCCATTACTTGCATTAGGGATCGACGGCAAATACCTCTTAGGGGAGTTATATGGCTTATTAACCTACCTCACATCCCACTCATCAACCAAAGCAGAAGCCATCGAAATACAGTCCGGTATTATTCCGCTATTTTAAGAAAACTGTGGCAAGTTGTTGACAGAACGAGAGTAGATCCTTGCAAACGTCCAAAATGGCGTCGAGCGACCCTGTTGGGTTGTGGGCAAAAGTAAGTCGAGGAAACTTCCGGTTCCCTATCACTTCCGACCTCACTACGCACGAAAATATATCGCCAGGTAACAAAACATTTTGCCTGATTCACTAAAATACCAATAAAAACAGACTATTGTGATACGAAAATGCAGCCGTTTCGCTTTTTTATCATAGCCAAAAGTAGATAAGGCGGGAAAGCCTAGAAACATGATTTACTAAACCTAACATTGAAAAACATTTCAATTGAAGATTTCCCAGTCAGTGGTAAGAGAAATGCACATGGAAATGCCCTCAATTTCACACATGTTTTACTTAGCGAGAGCAAAATTTCTTTCAACTGAAAATCTGTTTACAAGACAATAGCACGGCAGTAGCAGCTGGAAGTAATGATAGACAATAGGACAGGACGCCTTCTACCAATCAGACCAAAGATTAAATCTTTGCTTTGAAATCGTCAGCCAATCAAAATAAACTGTTTTCTATATTATCGATGCGTTGAAAGGAGGCCTACTAACTCCGAAAATTCCCTTTTGTTTAAAAGGTTTTTGTCAGGAAATCAATAGGTTGAGCTGACTTGGGTTCAGTCGTGATAAATTGTTCGTAAACCTTAGATTGTGATTTTTTTAAAGGATAGGGCCCAGCAACCACAACTTTGATAACCCCATGAACAATACCCTTCTATACCTGCCATGTACAAACATATAGGGGCAAGAATCATGTCTTTTGTGATGATTATTACTATTTAAAAGGCGTCTATAGCCATCTTGACCACGTGCAAAACTGCTGGAGAATAAAATTATTCATTGCAATCGCTTTAAATCTATTGACTCTCTCTCGCGCGCTAACGAAAAGCGACTGTATCCGCTTAGTCTAGAAACCTCGCAGTCGCATTTACGCATTTAATTGTTTACACTGTGGAGGCATCTTCCGCTAGCATTTCGGCCTTTTACAGGATGTTGTTTCTCAAGCCACCCCGAGGCCTTTAAAAGCGCCAGTCGCATTCAATATTCTTTCATAAGGGCAGAAAATCGTATTTTCCTCCTAGGATCAAATCAAACACCACCGTTGTCGAAAACACATTAGAAATGCGCGTCCGATCGTCGAATCTGATTTCATATGATCATTATTAATTTTCCCATAAGCAGGTAGAACCACGTGATACTGACCGCGGAACCATTCATCTGACTCAGATCTTGTTCAACTTGACAGAAAAAGGAACGACGTGGCGCGGTGAACACAATAGCACCTGCTGTATACGTAATCCACTAAGGCACTATTTCGCCTTCGCTTCTACAATTCTGGGATATGGCCGATTTTGGCCACACAACAAGATCACTTTCACCAGTCGACTACAATCACAGCGACTCGCGAGCGGCGTCGCTTTTTTTCCCTGGAAATCTAAAGGAGGAACATTCGGACAACAAAAACATTAAAAACGGTTCCTGCGAAGACTGTTTAGACGACTCGCCAAAATCTAAGGTAATTTCAACTCAGGGAAATACACCTTTGGAACAAACAAAACAACTTAATTTCACGAGAGATTCAGAGAACTCCATGTTTCACGATTTTGCAACATCGACCACGTTTTGGTCGCCAGCCACTGTAGAGGATGTATTTGTACCCGGCGCAATTCCACAGCCAGTAAACGGCATTCATTTACCCTCCAACACTCCTGTTATAACCCAGCCACGAAGAGTAAATGGACCGACGAATATGACCACAACAATGAACCATCAGCCAAGAAGACCGATTCCTCACAACTCAGCGTTTATAACGCAAAACAAATCAATGCCAACTGTAACAAGTTTAGGGGGATGGAATCAACAGACTCCGCCGTCCATTTCAGGCTGGCCTTCACAACAACAAAACTCGTGGGGAAGTCGGCCTTCAAACCATACACTGAATGCCATAAATTTCCCTCATGGAAGAAATTCTAGGCCATCTTCGTTAACACTTCCAAGCTCTTCTCGAATGCGAAATCATCATCGTCTGAACCCTACATTTCCTCCTGTTTCAAGATCGACTATCTCAACGCAGAGCATAACGCAGGGATTACAAAGTTTGAGTCTGAATCGGCAACCCGTGGACGGTACAATTTTGGATGATATCCCTAGCCTTGGAAATTCACATGGCCAAAACAACGAGCTTTCAAACTCCCTTTACTCCTATCAGGTAAAATCACAAAAACTATTAAACATACATTTTGTAGGAGACTCGTATAAAAAAGAACTAGTAAACATATATAAAAATACCGTACGTTGGGTGATTCTTCATCATAAAGTAGATTATTTTTTTAACCAAAATTAAGAAGACTCCAACATACGTTCATACTACTGCAGTTAAAAGCCGTAGCACAAAATCCTTTTATTGTAAATAAGAGATGTCTATTTTAAGCCACATGGTGTTTTCCATGAAATCGTTAGGAGACGACGAGCGACATAAAAAATGAGAAATATGGATTCGCTAAAATCAATAATGTTTTCTCCCGTCCTTTCACCAAAACATACATAAATTAATGAGGGAAAATGTTGGCTTAAAGGTACAGCTGCTTCGAAATTGTAAGGTAAAGTCGTAATAAAAGTGGAAACTTAGGGAATTTATTTAAACCTTTGTGGATCTTAAACTCTGATCACTAATGGATCCTTTGTCTTCTCTTTCCTATTCAGGATTCAATGAAATTTCCGTCTTTGGAGACACGTTTACTCGATATAATTCGTTCTCCTTCGGATCCTCCAGATAACTTAAGCGGTTAGTATGACCTTTTCTTACGTAGCGAAATCCCTTCGCATCTCTGAAAGAACAAGAAAGAAGAAGCATTCATAAAATACTTGGTTCAAAAAGAACCAAAGCAACAGGAACATATAATTCCACCAATTTCTGCCACACTCATTTACCAACATAGCATTTTGTTTTGTGAAATTAGGTTGTGTACAAATGTATAGTGCTTTTAACACATCTTACAACTTTAGACAGTTTTTACGGGAAATTTCTCTTTCTTGAGAGTTCGTCTGGTTATTAAAGATTCCACATCGCGACAATATCTTCATTCGCGTTTAGATCTCGCTGAAAATCCCTATTAGACTGAGGTAAAGTAAGAATGTGATGAAAACTTTCATTCTCTACTAATATCTCCCGCACGGCACCTGCACTTTCCGCCATGATTCTTTAAATTTTTAATGGGCTTGCAAAATGGCCAGACCCGAGAATATTAGACGTTTCTTTAATTTTTCACCCTTTTCCATTCTTTTTGGAAGTTTGATTTTCTAAATCTATAAAAGATTTATTTTTTAAATTAAAGAATACGGGCTAGTGTTGTTGAATGTCAGCTTTTTTAGTTTTGGTAAAGAAAAACCTCAAAAGTGGTGGTAAATGCGTAGTGATGCAAATCTTTGGAAGAGGACTCGACACGACATACATTTGGAAGAAAACTACAAACTACAGTTCGGAAATGCTCCTTTCTCAAATTAAGCCAAAAGAAAATAGAAAAACAGAACGCTCACTTCATATATCATATGAATGTCTAGGGTGCTACACTGTGGATTTTGATAAGGTACCGCTGGTAGAATTTCAAAGGAAGGAAGCCATCAAATCACCCTTACTACTTAATTGTCTCAAAGTCACCTCTCGTATCATTAAAAGAAAAGAGTTTGATGCCGTATTCTAACAGATTGTTGTCGTTTACTGTTGAAAGAAAGAAAAATGAAAAATAAAAGATGGACTGAATAAAGATGCCTGATCGCCCAAACCGACTGCATTATTCCGGAAACGACATTAAAATATATCCTTCGGGTTGAAGTGCGTGCGACGGTCAAAAAATTGAGAAGTCAGAGATTTTGAAGGTCATAATCATTTTATTCAGACCAGAATGTTCATTCAAAGGATCACAAGATGTTTCTTTTCTTTGCCATACATAGAATGAAAAGGTAAAAATGATCTAAATCATGTAAAGATTGTTGAATGTTCTTCACGTTGTCTCCATGTCGTTCCATCCCTTGAATAACAAAAATCAGCTACTGCAGATAATCCTCCATCTAGATTTGTTACGTTTTCGTATTTAGTAATCTGTGTAGAACCAAAGTTCTACCAACTCAACTACAAAATGAGACTACCAGCGGACTCATTTGGTTGAATAACCCTTTAACGCGAGCAAAATTTACAAAATTACTGTGTCTACTGTCACTCCCGAAAAGGAGAAAAAGGATAATATCACCGCTTTGGCAAAATCATAGCGAAGGCTCCTCTTGTCCCTTGAGACGAAATCAAAATCACAACAGTTGGCTATGATAACCAAACATATTTCATTCTTTTCTTTTAGGAGGATAAACGTCATTTGATTTCTATTTGGTGCCGCTCAAATCTCGCTTTTAGGGCTCGTGACTGATCAAACACTTGTAACAGGTAAAAAGAAGATACAATTGGGAGCTCGACATAAACCTCTTTCTTATGCCAAACAAATGAAAAAAGTTTTTCTTTTGTGAGGAAAAACTGCGAAAGTATAAGATCAATAAAGTAGGCTTAAGCAAGAAACGCCGACGCAGCTTCGTCCCCGAGGAACAAACAGACCCAGTAATTAAATTTCCTCCGTATTTCAATTCTTCTCTATGAGTGTGTGAGTAGGAACAAAATCCATCAATCATCTAAAACAGAGGAAACGAAGTTTCTTAGAAAAAGCGGCAACGACGCTAAAATGCAAATTTACCTCGGCAGCTCCTAGTGGGTAAGATCGCACCCATAAAACTGACGTTATAATTACTAGTGGTGATTTTTGACGAAAAGAAAGAATTCCACGAAAATTTCGTTTCAAAACTAGAAAAAATACGAGGAAAACCCTCAACGGGAAAGGAAACCTCGAGAGAGACTACGAGGGACAAATTGTATTGATAATTTATTCAAGTCTAGCTTCCTTCCGTTCTTTTTCTCTTTTGAGCTTTTCGCTAAATACTGTAGCATACGTTCGGTAAAACACTGATCAATGTTATTGATGTAGTATTAATGATACCACTGAAGAGAAAAGAGGTACGAACTTTCGATCTTTTTATAAGGAAATGTCCTTTTTTATCGAAATTTATTGTTCAAAACGAGAACACATATATTAGAATTTTTAACTAAAACTTTAGTACAGTAAACTGAAAACATAATTATATCTCTCAGCTGCCCGCGGTTTCATATGAATATTCAGAACGAGAAAAGAAAATTTTGATAATGAAAAGCAGTTCTGAAGTGATGTTTTATTAAAACTCTTCTTCGTTTTAAAGTGCATTTTCTTGATAGGATATTATTCTGAAATAGTTATTAACATTTCCTCTCATACGTTTGGCAAAAAAGCCCATTATATAGAGCCACAAGCTGAGTTTGGAATATAACATGGATAACAGCTGTATGGATTTTCAGTAACAATATGTCAAAATTACTCTCTATTAAAATTTTTTTTTCTGATTGGTTACGAGAAAGAAAGGCAAGCCTTTGGCAGTTAAGGAGGTAAATTTGGCGATAATGTCAAACAACGTCTTTCAGAAAATGCCAAGATCTTGGAGACATAGTTTTGCAGAGATATCAATAAGGTTCCTTGGTGAATATCCTGAGAGACCTCTTAGCCATTTGAGACTGCAGACGGCCTTTGTTACGTCCCACTAAAATCGCCATAAATGTTCATTTGTACTGAGAATTCGGACTCGTTAACACGTTTTTAAGTCAGCGCGATATTCGATGCAAGTTCATTTCAAGCGATTCAATCGAACTGCTACTCCTCGAAATTGCCCTTCAGTATTTGTTTGCATTTTCTCTCACAGACACATGCACTTGTAGAAATTTACCATGGGAAAAAACCGTCTCTTCAATGCGTTTCTTCTCAAATAAAATAAGCTGAGAAATCAGGATAAATCATAATCACTTAATTTTAATATCGGTAGAAATACAACCGGCTTTTATGAGTGTGAACAGACTGCTTTTTTCCAAAAGCCAGCGATCTACTTAAAATACATTCCACTTCTTCATGGGGAGAAGTTGCCCTTCTCTTTAAAATGAAAAGCATTACCAACCAAAAAAGGTGTAAAGAACTATCTAACTGATTATCTTAGATTTGAAAGGGTAACTAACTACTGTGGTTGAATTTTGCCGCCAGTAAAGTAGACTTGACACAATTCATTAAAACAAACCATGTTCACCAGTCTTAAATTTGGTGTCTAAATTGACCTGATTTAAGACAGGATATATACCCTTCATCTTTTGATGAATGTAATGTCCTCAATGAGGACATTTTTGGAGAAAACGGATTAAAACGTGGAAATGATTTCATGCAATAAATTCGTAGGCATAACTTCCATTAACTTAAATTAACAGAAGTGAAGAGAAAGCGATTTTTTATGGATAGCGGCATTAATTTAACGGTGTATAGAAATGATAGAGGCGATGTAAAAAATCGCTGTGACTCTTACTTGTAAATGAACAATCGATTTTGTAATCGTTAGCATTATATCCTTAGATCGTTTGCCAAACTTTTACAATATTAAGTGCAATTTAGTTCTGAAATGAGATTGAGGTCAGCCACAAAATAAAAAATATCTTAAATGAGGCTCTCTCATTAAGAATAACAATCGTTAACTGTGGACGCAGCGTTGAACGAGTAGTTGAGAGTGTTGAAAGATGGAACGAGGCCATAGAGAGGGATAGTCAAAAAACGCACGATTATAAGTCATCTTAATTTTGATTCAGGCTGAGTTGATGTGTGGATTTCATCTACGAAGCCAGATAGAGTAATCATCTTTGCGGTTTTCTGGGTTGTGCCTCCTATCAGTAAACAGAGCACAATTTCACGATGTACGTCTCGATATATTCCGTCATCAAAAAATCATCAAATATTTACAACATTTACTACAAAATAACCGAAAGTATGGTTGTTACAGGGAAATCATCTCAAACTGGGTCCTTGCCGTTATCAGCGTGCAAGGTCAATGTAACTGATAAGGCCGAAGTTTGATCATTTTAGATTTTACCTTAAGAACGTCCGTCTCGGTAGTTCTTGAGTATCAGACATGATTTCCTATGCCAAGTTGAGACATTATTATAATGTAACAATCATTTTTCATGAAAGTCGATCGTTAACGATAACTCCACAAGCGCGCGTTGGACATGAGTCGGCTTTAAACAATATCGTATCCAACGAGTGGGAATTAAATGATTTAGGTTTCATTAACTTCTCCACTTTTCAGCATTGCTGCGGAGCTTTTTAAAATTTTTCAAATTAAAATAACCGGAAGTTGGTGTTGCATGGACCACCAAAACAGCAAATAATCACCTGACCTGTGAATCCGGCACTTTACGACCGGAGTTAATGAAATCCAGCGCTAAAGCAGTTTCATCAGCCGGATCTGGATAGTTACGTGGAATGCAGAACTTTTTAATCCAAGAAAATTTCAAAGGTACGAGGTAAAATTCTTTGGAGAAAAGCATTCAAAAGTGTTTGAGTTCGACAACTGTCAGTTTGTTTTGTGGAACCAAGCTAACGAAGACGGATTGAAGACATTTTCAGTTTCGAACTCAAGGTCTCCATGACTTCTCGATCCAAGTGTACGAGCTACAGACTTACCGAGATGAGCATTCGGTTCAATTTTTAGAACTTCAAGCTTACTCTAAAGCATTGTGTTGATTTGGGAATGTTTTGCTGAAGGTCGTGGTAGAGCTTAGAGATTTCAAGGAAGAGTTTGGAAGTCATCCCAGAATTTTGAGATGTTGTTTGGATTTTGTTGTAGTGGTTGTTCTTTTTGTAGACTACATAACCTTCAATAGATTCGACATCTAGGGATATATCAGACTTATTGGATTTTCTTTTTGTTTCCGCGATGGCATTGACTAGTATTTGTTTCACTTTATTTCTACTGCTCAGGAGAAGCGCTAGATTCCGCCCAAAATTTGATTGAGCTCAACAACGTTTGATTTTATTATTTTCCATTTTAAGGTGGTTCAGTATATGGGCTGAGAACTGGAATTGAATCAATCAATCAAAACACATAAAATGAATATCTTGTCTATTTGACAAGCTTTATGACACGAAAACACGATATTTTCCCCTCTTCGAATCGGTGAATGAGTAAGTGAGCGGAGACATGACCTGATTGAAAAAGGCAACTTCCGCTCAGTTCAATCAAATTAGCTCAAAATGGCCTCGTTGGTTTTAAACATTTTAAAATTCGTGATTATTTATTAACAAGTTATCATCAATGTTCAAAGAAGTTTGGTCACCAGAGTAACACTACAGCCCCTTAAATACACCCTTACTTTTTGCATAATGCGTCCTTAACACAGGAACGAGCTAGATGATTGTCATTTCTATTTCTTTGAACGGCAATCCGCATATTAAGAGGCACCTCTCTCCAAAGTTTCCAAAAAATATGTTGACACAGTTCAGAAACACCTCCAATTTCAGGCAATTCTTTCATAACAAAATTGACGAGATCTTCTATCTTTCCTTTATTTCAGCTTTCAAATATCATCTGCAAAAGAGAGGAACTTCCCACGCAGGAGGTAAATAATTAAACGATTTTATTTCACGATCGAACTTTACGTGGTAAAAATCATCTGATTGGTCAATCCGCTTTCTCAGATCATGTTTTGTCAGACTATATAGTCCCGATATGATGACGAAATCCATATTCGGAAATATACTTACATTAAGAAATAGAAACATTTTCCTCTTCTAAATCTTCATTGAAAAGATATTTGAAAGATACATAAATACATATATCTCACCCTGCTGAAATTGAAAACATGCAATTTAACTGGAATTATTCGCAGTTAGTTTCAAATGATGTCGCGTTGCGAAAGAAAAAGAACGTGATCAAATTTCTCCAAACTGAAGTAAAAAACATTCCATTCTTGATTTTCTGAGATGCCTTACTTACGTGGGAATGAAAAGTGACAACATGATAATGACATAGCTTAATAAACTTGATTTCAGTTATTGAGAGCTTTAACGATGCCGTTAATTCTACGCGATTTGAATTAGTATGAAAAATGTTATCCGAAGTGAAGCATTTTTGGCACTCGCAATAGATTTTGAAAACGACACAGTTGAAAGTGCTAACTTAAGCAATGCTGATGAAAACACTTGGAAGAAGGTGGGGAAAGACACTGTTAGCATGAGTTAAGCAGCTTAACGCGGGTTAAACTTCCGAACACGACTCGGGTTGTTGTCTATCGATTTCGGTGCATCTCAGTGCAACGGGTTCAGATTTTTTAAAGTACAGTATTAAGTAGTCAAAATGTTTTATGAGGGAAATTTCTATAACTAACCTTCATCCCAATAAAAGAAGCCCCACTCAAAAAATGACTTTATAAGGGAGGGTCCTCTCCTAACTTACGCATGGATGGCAATAAAGGAGATGGAATGCGTAAAATAACTAATTAGGATATTATGAATTGGAAATGCTAGCTAAACCTAATCAAACTCGGTTCTTCGGCGGTTTATTTTGTTTAATAAACCTAAATACATTTGATTAAAAACAAACCAAAAAGAAGGAAGGCGTTTAAAAAAGCTGTCAAAATGTTGCAGCCGCACGTCTGTATTAACAATATTGATCTTTTACTAAAAAGTTGACAGGAAGTTTACTTTTTCCGTTCACAGATCAAATTGTACCATCAATATGGTCTCTTAATTGTTCTCCAACATCGGATTTGCCAGATCATATTGAGCGTTACTCGAGGAAAGTATTTGTTGGAGGACTACCTCCAGATATTGATGAAGGTATGACGAAATACCGCGCTTTGTATAACTAATTATTAACTTTGAGAGTGAAGTCGTTACGGGATACCCTCATCCTGAGGCCTTGATAACCAAATCGTCAAGATCATTTAGTCGTATTTTATATATAATGATAAATAAAAAAAATAAATTAAATCTGAAGTCGTCACTTTACATCAGGTAAAGCGTACTTTCACATATTTCTCTTTCGCTTCAAAAAGGTTCAACTGAACAAGTCAAGTTAGTAAGCCAACACGTACTCCATGGAAATAGATATATTCAGTAATAGCGCAAATGATCCTTTCTGTAGTAGGAAGTATTTTCAAGGATAAACCTCATGTATGAGGAAGTGTACTTGTGTTACGGCCTTTTGGTGTAAGAAAATACACATGCTACAGGTAGCATGGCTTTAATTGAAGATCCAAAGTAGCATCTAGTCTTTGGAATTTAGGTCACCTTTATCCTTTGAGGGTTGCGTCAGTAAATGAATAGAAAGGCTCCCTATGGGCGACTTGGCTTGGATTCGGTAGATCAAGCACTGCTGTTACCTGGAACTGTCATTAACCTGAGAGGGTAGAGATTTAGTAGTGTCCAGATACTTTCTCGGTACAGAATATTCCTTTAGCTCCAGCTGGAAGTCTCATGTGTTGTTTTACAGATGAGATTCATGCCAGTTTCTGTCGGTTTGGCAGTTTGACTGTAGATTGGCCTCACAAAGCAGAAAGCAAGTCATATTTTCCTCCCAAAGGTAAGCTTATCATTAGGTGAAGTTCCTTTTGAATCCAGGCCTTTCCAATAAGAACATACGATAGCTCTGACTCTACAAGTTACAGACGAGTAATTAGTTCATGAATTTTCGCTACAATGTTGGAGGTTCTTCTCGTTGATTATTTCAAAAGTCACATTCAGTTTCAAGTCCTTAGCAGAGGAAATCGTATTAAAAGGGTCATCATGTAAAAACCATTTTAACATTATGCCTTCATAAAAACATTTCTTCCACAGGTTATGCATTTCTGCTGTACCTTGAGGAGCAATCGGTGCAGAAGCTAATCGACGCCTGCTTTCAGCAAGATGACAAACTCTACCTGTGCGTGTCCAGTCCTACTATAAAGGACAAACCTGTGAGTTCCTTTTATTTGTGTCTTTATTGCTATATTCTTTTGAATGGAGGGTAGGAGAATTTTTATACGTATGATGCACGATCCTCGCAGTAGAGAGCGCTATTTATGAAATAGCGAAAATCAGACCTGAAAAAAAAATCAGGCCTGTACGGGATTCGAACCACTGACCTCTGCGATACTAGTGCAGCGCTCTACCAATTGAGCTAACAAGCCAACTGGGAGGAGGCCGTTAAGTTGATTCGTAATAAACCCGTGATGATAAATCAGATAAAATGAATATATGAAGTTCATATATTTTTAACTGCGGTATTAGATACGTATGATGCACGATCCTCGCAGTAGGATCGTACAGGCCTGATTTTTTTCAGGTCTGATTTTCGCTATTACATAAATAGAGCTCTCTACTGCGAGGATCGTACATCATACGTATCTAATACCGCAGTTCAAAATATATGAACTTCATATATTCATTGCATCTGATTTATCATCACGGGTTTATTACGAATCAACTTAACGGCCTCCTCCCAGTTGGCTTGTTAGCTCAATTGGTAGAGCGCTGCACTAGTATCGCAGAGGTCAGTGGTTCGAATCTCGTACAGGCCTGATTTTTTTCAGGTATTGCATAAATAGCGCTCTCTACTGCGAGGATCGTGCATCATACGTATCTAATACCGCAGTTCAAAATATACGAACTTCATATATTCATTGTATCTGAGAATTTTTATATTGGATTTTAGCATTTAGCTTTATAGTAAATGTATGAAAAACCTATTTCGTTTGAAACTGCAGGTTCAGATAAGACCTTGGAATCTGAATGACTCAGATTTTGTCATGGATGGTTCACACCCTCTCGATCCAAGAAAAACAATTTTTGTCGGTGGAGTACCTCGCCCACTGAGAGCAATAGAGCTGGCCATGATAATGGATCGGCTGTATGGAGGAGTCTGTTACGCTGGGATAGATGTAGATCCTGAACTGAAATATCCCAAGGGTAAGAGTTATTTAGTTTTACTCATTTGTTTACATTTCAGGTGTGAATACTTGCATAAACTTGAAGACAGGTTTTTTCCAATTGGAATCAATTAACTGAGTTAGTAAAACGACATTTAGGAATAGGATTACGTGCAAAACGAAAAATAGAAGGTAAAGATAATTTTTCAATGTGTGCATATGCAAAATTACGAATATCGAAACAGCTTGTAACAACAATATGTAAGAAGCACTCTTCAGCTTTTGACGTATAACATTTTGCTTGACATTTAAGGTGCTGGTCGAGTGGCCTTCTCCAATCAACAAAGTTACATAGCCGCCATAAGTGCCAGATTTGTGCAGCTACAACATGGCGACATCGATAAGAGAGTAAGCCTTTCATCAGATATTGTCAGCCATATCATGTCAGTCTTGTCATGCCCTTTCATTCAAATTTTGCGATTTCAATTACCAAGCCAAACTTATTTTTCTAGTGAATTTAAAACATTTTTTCGATCGACGCACTGTAGAAAGTAGCTCGAAAAACTACTTCGCCTAATTGAATAAGTGTCAACACTCAACTGTTTTTCATCCATCTACTACTTGCCGAAAAGGAAAATCATTGTAATGATAGATTACCGTCATACTCGAGACGGAAAAAAAGACGTGGAATACCTTAATTCTCGAAACCCCTTGAGGGGCCTTCTTAATATTCTAACTCTTTTGATGATATCGTTGTTAGCTGTCGTATAAGTTTTTTACACCTTGAAAATAGTACCATTTCTATTCTAGTCCATCAGAATGTGCAATAACGTATATTATCTGTAACACAGTTTCATATCACTTCCCAGGTTGAAGTCAAGCCGTACGTTTTGGATGATCAGTTATGTGACGAGTGTCACGGCGCCCGGTGCGCGGGGAAATTTGCACCTTTTTTTTGCGCAAATGTCACGTGTCTCCAGTACTATTGCGAACAGTGCTGGGCAATCATACACTCCAGGCAAGGGCGAGAATTTCACAAGCCTCTGGTAAAGGAAGGTGCTGACCGGCCAAGAACAGTTCCATTTAGGTGGTAAAGAAAATCAGTTAATTCAAGTTATTTTCAATCGATTTCAAGTTGATAAGAATTCCCTAATCTGGGCTAATGCCATCTCGAATTGGATAAACAGTTCTGCTTAGTCAAATTGACGTACTTATTATTAACCTTAGGAATGCTGTTTCTTTTCTTTCTTTCTTATTTCTTCACCTCTGATGTAAATGGTATTTAGAGTTGATTGGGGGAGAGGAAAGTAGTTGATAGAACTGACATGATTGATCAGGGTTAGTTAACCAAGGTTGTTGTGTAAGAAGGAAGCATTTTGTCAAGTAGAAATTCACTCCACCACGCCGAGTGGACTCACAATTATGTGTTGAAATATTCACCATTCAACTCTAATTTGACAGTGAAAAATTTTTCGAGAATATTTGAGGAGGTGCGAGAGGATTACTTTTCCATCTTCGTGTATAATCATTTTTGTCGATTACTAAATTTTAATTTTTTAATCGAAGAAAGAATTGCTTACTTTGAACGAGTAGAGTTATTTATCTAACGAATTACAAATGCACGAAATGAAAAGAATATGGCGAATAGAATTGTAAATACTGGCTGAAACACAAAATTTAATTTCAGCAAAGAAAGATATGTTATAAACTTACGCAAAGATTATGTCTGTAAATGGTGCGGAAAAAAATGTTTTTTTTCTGGAGTTTAATTTTGTAGAATGTTTAGTAATAACTCATAGGGAGGATTACCATTGTTGAGATGGTTTTAAATATGGGCTGGATTACCGCTTAAAACTAACAAACAAGCAAAACAATTCTTTCTTAGTCAAATGAAGAAGGGGGGAGGGGTGCAGTATGCAGATTTTCCACTAAGCCAGAGTACAAAACCAACATATCATGACTATCAGATTGAAATGAATTAGATGTATTGTATATTTTTTGTTTCCGTTATTTAAAAACAACACATATTGTGATAAGTAATAATGATTGGTTTTTTAAACCGTACCATCGATGTTGGGTAATGAGTTCCACAGTGATGTATTGAAACGGAGAAATCATTCTACTTTGTTTAGAAAGGATAAAGCTATTATCTTTTATCTTTTGTTCAAAAGGGCAGAACTTTTTTAATAGATTTTATATTTACTTCAAATAATATATGAAATGAGTTTAATTTTTGGAAAAATTTAGTTTTAGAAGATGATAAAATCAGTTTGAAAAATATCAATTCATACAATTTACGGGCTGCTTGTTCGCGTGGCAGAAAGTGAAATCATGTGCTCCTGGGAAAAAAAATACCGTTCTAATTAGGCTTCTTTAAAGCGTATCAAAACTTTTGCAGTTTGTACCATTTGTACCAGTTACGCCTGAGACCTGATCACCCATGCTATGTCAAAGTCATTTCACATGCATAACATGCTCATAAACTTTAGATGTCACATTCGTTACAATTTTGTTTTGTACAAAACAGATTATTTACTCTGGATTTTTAAAGGTTCTATACGCGTACTTCTTCAAAATTTGCCCGAGAAGACTTTTTACACTTGAAATTTCGTAGGAAGGGAATCAGTGATGACGTCACGATCAAGTACAATAAATAACTCTCACAATGATTTGCTATTCAAGTATTTTTGAGATTGTCTATCCTTTTGTAATTTTAGTAGGATTTCACTAGTGTGCACGATTGCCTTTTCGGTGATTCGGAAACTATCTGCCACGCAAACATCATCTCTGAATTTAATAAGTTACACCTTTTCACTTATTTTAGCTCGTACAAATGTATAATTATAATATTTTTTGCTTTATTTGTGCATTTTATTGGCTCTCAGAGTGTTTCGTAACTTATTGGAGCCTGTGTGGGCATCATCTTTACGAGAAAAAGTGCCGGCTAAGGGATGCCTTTCAAAAAAGGTAACAATAAATGAAATGGTAGCGCTATAGCTAGATCTTACAAGAAAAGTAATATCCCAATGTTTTTGGACTGATCCTGAAGAGTATCACTTACTAATCGTGCTGCACTTTTACAGTTTGAATTATTAAATGATACTACATACGAATCAAGACTTACTAGATTGCTTTCCCCAAAGTATTCCAAACCTAATATCGAATAAGTGCAAATGAGATGTTTGGAGGCAGTTTCTTTCGAGCTAACTATCATTATTTCCACCATGCAAGGGATGTATGGAGTATTTATAAATTAGTTCACTATGAAAATGCTATTTTATTTCTACTCAAGAAACAGGTAACTAACTGTTACAAAGAACAAGTTTAAGATATTATTCTTCCTTTTTTTTTATTGTTTAATTTGTTTCGTCGGTCATGTCTAAGCCACTCTCCCACAGAAAACACACGATCTGAGCGAGCGTTATTATCCATACACCCAGGATAAAACTTTACTGCATTAATTTTTATGAACGGTAAAAACTAGCAAAAAATAACAGTGATTTACTATGCCAGGTTTGCGGGCGAGTTGCTGGACTTTCCAAAATGATTCAGCACAAAAGCTCCTCTATAACAAGCTTTTCGCAAACGTTGTGGCTGAGGAAAAGCAATTAAAAGAATTACCCAAAGGTGTTATATGCTTAAACTAACTATCCTTAAAATCATCATAGAATACGCAACAAATTTAATATTTTCTTGCTATATTATGTGGTTGCACTCTTCCAAATTAATACTTGCAGACATATTTCTTGGTGTTAGATGCAGACATTCCAATTTTAATTTACAACGTTTTTCTAAAACGTTTATGCATCTGGATAAAACCATGAAATAATTAAAAAAAAGTTTTCTCATCATCAGATTGAAACTTACTGGCAGCGAAGCAACTATTGTGTCATAATGAAGGGAAATAAGATTGTGAAAATACAAACGTAAAGTAGTTAGAAAAGGTAGATGGTCGAAGAACAATAAAACGTATCTTAATTTCTAACAAAGTTGATAAGAGGGGAAAATCCTGTTCTTTTTGTAGCCCAGTTAATAAGAGTAGAATATGCAGACTTTTAACGAGCAAAGCTTGGTAGGTAAACGAAACAAAAATAGTTGACAATAAAAATAGGTTTTTAAAAACTAATTTTCAAAAAGAAAACGAGTATTCTGTTAAGAAAAGAATTCTTTATTTTCATATGGTTTGCCAGTTTTCATTGACCTGTTATGTTTTACCCGAGGTTTAGATTAGAGTGACGGATTCTTCCAAACGGGAAAGAAAACGATTCTTTGGAAAAAGGCTAGAGGGTTTTTTTTTTCCATTTTTTACAACTATTTTCTTAGTTTCAGTACAAATAAGTTCAGCTGATTTTGTTTTTAAATTTTGCATATTTTACTAGCATTTGGAAGTAACTGTTTTATGTACCACGAAATAGAAACAATACGACACAAAATGCCATTAACATTATTTATCACAAGACATAATGTTAAAAACCTCATATAATGCATGCTGGTTTTATAACTGATGCTATTTTCAAAAAGTATTTTGACCTCTGCATTATAGATCTTACAGGTTAATGATAATTATTTTAAGATCTCTTTAATTTTGTATTCAAACATTTGTAGTATGTATTTAAGAATTCTATGTTCCAGGTATCTGTAAATTCATAATTCTGCAACCATGGCATAAAGTAAATTTTTGTAACTGAATATTTTGGTTATATATGGTTAATAGTGGAAAAGAGAAATGATCTTGATAATTGGAGGTAGGCTGGAATTTCCCCAGTAGCTACATGTTTTTTAGTATTAAGGGCATTTACGTGTTGCAACTTATGTAACACCGTTTGCTTCATCCATTAAAGTTCAAATAAAGTTTCTCTTCTTTGTGTTTAAGACTGGCATTAACGTGGTTGTGTCCGAAGAACTCGTTTTAAGTAATGAGCGGGAAACGGCAACTCGAAGGTAGAATTTCTTTAAAACAGCTCGATAAAGTGCGGCTCGCAGCCTAATACGTTCAAAAAATAATAAGTTCAAAAAATATATTGATCTAGCTTTTTTCCTTAATGAAAAAGAGATGTCAAAGTTAATACCTTAAAACCGAAACAATCAAACATTCACGAGTTGTTTTAACCGATCTCCGGGATATTGGATGATCTACCTAATGGCCGAATTTATTGATATTTGTGCCTTACAAAAGTTAGCCAACACCAATCAGAACATACACATGCTGTACCTTTATCCTTCGATGACACGTCACCAAAGTTGTATTGAAATGTACAGAAAATTGTTTGATACTGAATTTTATTTTGCAAGAACGAAAAAAAATGTCTATAAGACCTCTCTCTGAAGAGAGCCCTTCCTTCCTCAACACCCAAAAATAAAAGCCCCAAGACAATTGGTTTGACCGTTTTATTGTTTTCTTTTCGAAGTAGATCACTTTTTTTAATCAGAATATACTTCACTGGTAAACTTGTACAACTGTATAACTTGTACAACCTGTTTCAACCACATAGTCTGATACTGTGTTCGGAATTAATTGCATCGAGGGGAGAGCTCAGAAGCAAAATAATGACTCATCTCGTGACTCTCCCACCCTCTGGGAGCCCTGAAAATTAATAGGCTCAAGGGGGGGGGGGAGGGGGGGGAGAGAAGAGGGAGTAAGCTTAATAGAGTGTTTGAGGCAAATTAGAAGTGATCAAACACATTTCGGAGGAAAGAAGCGCAGGAATGCAAAACATGTACCGGTAATATTTTTTTTTCGCGGCCGTTTGCGATCCTGCACTAGTTCACAGCGCGAAGACCATTAACGAAGTAAACATTCTTAGGCATCTACGGGTTGTTCTCACAGATTCCTACCCTTTTTAATTACACACACACACAAGCAGAAGTCCCATTTCAACGGCGAACTGTATAAACTGACTCGTAGCATAAAGGAGCATCTCAGCATTTCTCGCACTCGACCGCCATTTTGTCGCATACACAGGGTTCCCATTGAAAGACAGCAATAGAAGCTAACTGATAATCTCCCCGGCCGACATTGTGGAGAGCAAAATTGTGTAAGATAGACCTCACTGTACACGGAATTTTTCGTTTTAAACTCTCACTAGGTTTTTAAGGGGCTTGTGTTTGTAGCTTTTTTCCAGCTCAACAAAGTTCGTGCTTGTCACTTTCAGTGAAAACATAATGGGGAAGATTCATACCAGTCGTTTCTTACCTGTTCAATCTTTCGGTCAATTGCGAAATGAAGAAGTCTTGTTTTCTTCCCTTAAAAGAAAAACAAACTCATGTCCTGTGAAACAGACATGACGAAATTGCTAGTGTCATGACAAAGATAGTAGTGGCAAATCCAGAGGATGGCTTCGATTTGCAGCGATTTACTAACAACAACAAGACTGGCAATCACCAACATGTCGATTGCTGATCGATTAAAACGATACTTCCATAACAGATATCGACCCACTCTCGACCGATATATTTCGATAGACAATCGACGGTCATCGACCGACAATCTACAGACAATCGGTCGGCAACCGACCGCTATATTGACCCCGACACCTGATGATGTCAATTTTCGCAGACGATTTACATCGCTGTATAGATCGTTTTCACTCACGTGACCAAAACCCTGACAACTGTTGCTACGCCGCCATATTTGTGTACAGATATCGCATGCAAATCTACTGCGTCCTTTGAAAGAAGATGCTTTTGTGCTTGATTGTCGGCTGTGGAAATAGAAGTGGAAGGAATAAAGGATTATATTTTGCCAAAGTACCTTCGATAATTGAAAATCAAGGAAATGAAGCCAAAGAATTGTCAGCAGAAAGAAGATCGCGCTGGATTTCTGCTATTAGCAGAGACGATCTCACCGATACCATTTTTGAAAACGATCGCGTGTGTGAGAAACACTTTGTTTCTGGAAGGCCGCAAAATCATGTGATGAATTTAACACTGATTGGGTCCCAACTCTAAATTTAGGACATAATAAGGAGACTGGCCGTACGGATCGAGAACAAGCAGCAAAAAGTCTTTCGCGTCGGATTTGTTGCATTATTCCACCGGTTATATTATAAAAAAATTGGTTCATGCTTTATGCTATGCACTATCGAATTATGGAGCACTTCGGAAGCTTGGAGAACACTTCGAGGGACCTGAGTTTTCGGTGTCTGAGTTTTCGTGACACCCAGCGACCTTGCCATGAATTCTAGTAGTTGCCTCTAACATAAATAAAACACTCGCGATATGTGAGCATGACTCAGCCAGTCCAGCTTTGCATCCCAAGCAATGGGCTGACAAAATAGTCCCATCGTTTTCGGAAATGACCCAAATGTTCACTAAAGGATCATTCATATGCTGTGAATGCCAAACTCGTGCTCTCACGGCATACTTGCCGGCGATTACTTTGCCTACAACTGAGGTTACAAATCCCGACACCATTTGATTAAACGCCTCTAGACTCTTGAACGCCTTGAACTGCTTCTTGGTGTAGAAGCTGGTCTCAAGAACGAGGTAACTCAGCAAGTCCGACGCTTCCACAGGAGGCAAGCATTTTGGACTGAACTTCTCGGCTGGTATGCTTGCAGGGTCAACCCCAATGACCGAGATCTTTTGCAAACATCTTTCCTTCCAACTCTCTAAGCTTTCGGCATACTCAGAGAGCACTGGGATACCTTAAGATGAATGCCAGATACTTTTATCGCTTTTTTCTTCCTGGATATTCATGTAGTTGGCGAAATAATACGGCGATAAGAGAGAGGGCTTCACTATAGAAATCGACTAATTATTCATAAATTTGACACCCGAGGGACACCAACACTAAAACGTTTCGGATTCATCACGAATCCGGAACAATTTCCTCTAGTGTAAACCTAGTCTTAGTTTCAGAATAGGCATAAACTATTTAGTTGTGCTCTGTTCCCTTCGGCGGTCACAATCAAACAAAATATAGAAGGTGCCATTCTATAAAAGGGAACCACAACACAAGATCAATACGAACTAACTAAAGCCAGCCTTTATCCTTGTCTCTAGTTTAGCGCTTTCGTTATACGCTTTCAGATCATTGGTGGAATTAAATATAAATTGTTTACTTTGGTTGGTATACGTCTCGCTGAACATTTGAATCAGGTTTCATTTAAAGTGGAAGTTTCACGTAAGTAAAAGGGTGTTGTTCGATCGATTGGCACCTTCAGTGCTTTCTAAAAATGTGCCATTTTGATGTTTTAACTACAGATAAAAAAAAAATTGGGGCGACTTGACCCTTGTTTAGAGCGACATGACTAGAAGTCTTGACTCAGGCTTCAAGCGAGATGGCTTAACCGTAAACACAATCACGGTCGCCCACGGACCAAACTCCCCCACGCTTAAAATTACTTATTTATTGCCTTTTAAGTAGTGTTCACTAATGCGAAGACTATCTCCTATCCATGTATCGATCCGTAGTTCACATGTTTCCGTGACAAGTGTAATGCGTAAGCCCAGTAACAACATAACCAGAATTGCAATGCGCTGGACACCTGAAGGCAAACGAAGCAGAGGGCGACCAAAAACAACTAGGCGCAGGACTGCAGAGAAGGGACTAAGGGAGCTCAATTACAGCTGGTGCACCACTGAAAAACTGGTTAAAGATAGCCAAGGTTGGAAGGATTTCGTTGTTGCCCGATGTGCCACACAGGCATGATGGGCAATAAGCTAAGCTAAGTTCACATGTATAATTTTCATATGTTCACAGTCTTTTACAAACCAAAGCGTCCGGCATAACGTTACATATGAACACAAAAATAAATCTGTATAACCTGAAAACATGATAAATTAGCTCCAAAATATGTGTAAATTATATCAAAAACTGATACTCGAAATCAACTCAAAGCAATAACGAAATCGCTTAAAATATCAATTGCACAATAAACCTTAAGCAAGGATAGAATTTTATCTGTACATTTATAACATTAGTTCGTGTTTATTCAAGCAAAAACTTACTCGTCCCTCGTATAAGCATTAGCAAATTCCATTTCTACAAAAAAGCTGCGAATAATCTATGATTTCCCACCAAAATCGTTTGTTTCGATGTCCAAACCGCCTCCCGGTTAGCTCAATGGATAGAGCGCTGGACTGTTGTGCGGGAGATCGAGGGTTCGAGCCCCCGACCGGACCAACACTCAGGGTCTTAAAATAATTGAGAAGAATTTGCTACCTTTCCATAACATCAAGAAATGGTTAGATATTCTAGTCTTCTCGGATAGGGACGAATAAATGGAGGTCCCGTCTCCTGCAGGGTTGGGGTAGGAGACGTTAATTTCCCACACACGAGATTACTGTGTGATGGATGTCCTCCCCTGGGGTGGGATGGGTGGGATATAGGGCGCACTTAATTTGGAGCCTCGCTCTGTTGTGCGACCCTCACCACACTCTGGTGAAAGTGATTAAATAAAATTAATTNTAGCTCAGTGGTTAGAGCATCCGACTAGATCACGGAGGGTCGTGGGTTCAAATCCCATCTGGAAACTCGATTTTTAAAAATTGTTTATTTCATCTTTACATGCTCACTTTGGAGGCTGGTTGGCTGCATGTGATGCTTTAATGCATGTGATGCTTTAATGTGACAGCGTGATGCTGTTAGTGAGCTTCTATGCGCTAGCTGATGTTTGGCTGTGTAGCCGCGTGATGCGGTTCCAGTCAATACCCACTAATTGACCCTTGCTCACCATAGAGTCTCCTGTAGCTCAGTGGTTAGAGCATCCGACTAGATCACGGAGGGTCGTGGGTTCAAATCCCATCTGGAAACTCGATTTTTAAAAATTGTTTATTTCATCTTTACATGCTCACTTTGGAGGCTGGTTGGCTGCATGTGATGCTTTAATGCATGTGATGCTTTAATGTGACAGCGTGATGCTGTTAGT